ATCATCATCATCATCATCATCATCATCATCATCATCATCATCATCATCATCATCATCATCATAACTTTGTTAGGTTTGGGACAAAAACAGTGTTATGAAGACTTTCGTTTTGTATGAACTGGCATGATGATGCGATTCTTAGGTCGATCTCACCAGAAAACGACAAAGAAACTCAGCTTTTGTCTACTGGTGGGATCCACGCCGGGAGTTCTTCATCATGCACCTTCATAAGAATTGTAATTTTTCACAAAAATCTCATCTCAGGAGATTCACCACTACTTGCACAGAAATGGGGTTCAACTCGGCCTCTAAAGAGGTGTTGTCTTGAGACGCGAATGCTGAAAGACCTCGTAAAGAAACGAAATCCCACTACGTCATCAGTACAGGCCTCTTTCGCCAGTCGTGTTGACGTGCCTGCCAGAGCGCGTCTCGAGACAGACGGATTTCTGTCAGCCCTCCCAATTTAGCACAACACAATGAGCCCCGTTCGTGGAGGATAGACAGACGGACTTACCAAGCTGTGCGACAGCCTTGACTGTGGAACGAGAGTCAGCCGGGTGCAGTTGAGTGCTGACTGGAGGGCTGGAGGTAGGCCGCACCGAGTTACCGACGCCCAATCAGGAGGGCAGACGGACAGACAGGCAAACACAAAGTCAAAGGGTCGACCGCGACACCCGCTTAGTCCGACACTTGAGGCAGGAGGCGGGCGTATTCACTGTAGACCCGAGTGTGAGCCAGGCCTGCTGGCAAAGTGAGGCGAGGTGAGCTGAGCTGAGCTGAGCTCACAGCACGGACGGACAATGGAACTTGAGCGCCGTGATACGTCGACCCCTTGAGTCTGTCTCGAACCGGCCTGGGGGGTGGACAAATAAGCGTGTCCGTGTGTGGGTGCGTCTGCTTGGAGGGGCGGCTTGATGTGAAAGCCTGCAGACGAGAGGATGGGTTGACAAAGACAAATCAGCCTATGCAAGTCGGCAAGAGAGAAAGGCAGAGAGCTGGCGTGAGCAAGGGAGAAGCTCGTCAGGATGGCGGCTAGTTATGCTGGTAGCCCCGGGCCAGAGGGAAGAGACAGAGACAAAGGGCACAGTGCAAGCAGTCCCGGCCCGTCTGATTGGACCAAGCCGGTTGAGGCCACACCAACCCGACTCGAACCGGCCCGGTTAGGTCCTACTGACGATGACAAAGCACGTTCTTTTCGTATTAGAGTAGAGTTTCGAGACTACCAGTAAATCAGTAGTATGAGATGTGTTCACCCAATTTCGTCTAAGGTTCTGCTCGTCTCGGCTGCCAGACTCCGACGATCACGAGCCTGGCGCCAGCCACTTTGTCGTCTCGTGGGGACAGAAACTGCACTTTCACACCTTCAATCGCCCAAAGGACCGAGTGACCTTGGTTGACCAAGTTGGGATCAGGACCTAATGACAGGCATTACACTTAAAATAGCCTTTGTAGAAGTGGATCGACCCCGTTTTCGCAACTTGGTCTTGTCGTCACCTTGTCCGAAG